ATAAATGCCTTTTTTTTTTTTAAGATGTATTTATTTAAGATAGAAAAATGCACAAAAATATGTAAAAATAAACTATTATTAAAAAATCTATTTATACATGCAGAACTGGGGTACAAGCCAGAGGTGCAAGGGTGGTGAGAGGCTTCACCAGAGACAGAGTGGGGAGCAGAACAGGCAGATCGAGGGAGTACACTGCTGAGGGGAGCAGTAGGTGAGACAGGAGAGGTCTGCCATGCCATATGGGTCACCTCCGGGGCTGGGAGTGAAGCTGCAGCAGTCAGCTTGCAGTGCTGTGTCCTAACCCATTGTGCCACCAGGGAGGGCCACCTGTAAATGTTTTCAATTCAAGTAGCTCCTCTTCCTGTTTCAGGATCCTAGAGAAAGATGAGAGTAACATTGATGCCTTCCAAATCCTAGCTGTGCATGAGCTTGCAAGAGAAGGGAACAGGCCTACAGTAAGTTCTTTGAAGCCTCCAGTGTGTTGACCTTTGAAACAAATAAGCCAAGAAGAACCCCTCATAGCCCCCAAGCCCCCCTCCCATCCCTGGGGCCTTGGGGGATGATCCCTAGATCTCTGTTCCTTCCCCCACACCCATCGCCAAGAAGATCTGGCCCTGTTTGTTCTTTAGGCAATACAGTTCCAAAGGCAAGGGTGAGGTTGATCTGGCCCTACCCAAGGTAACTACTTAACCCCAAGCAGGTGTTTCTCCACTTGGATAAGTCTCAGGGTCCTCATTTGTAAAATGCCGATAAGCCCACCTGACTTTGTGAAGTTAGAATAAAGACTAAGTGAGAAGACAAGTGGAAGAGCTGGGAATGGTACCTGATGGCCGATGACAATTCAAGCAATGTTAGCTGGTAGGAGTCGTGGTTACATTTAAGATTTTAGGAAATGTCATGTTTTCAGGAAATGGTTAGGATCACTCAGGTATTGGCCAGGAAGTATCTGGCCTCGGACTTGTTCCTAAGCCTTATAGTTTTCCAGAGAAACCCAAAACAACCATCAAATGCAGCCAGAAACACTAATAAAATTCTTAATGAAAAGCTCAGTGCCCAGACAGGTTCTTATTTTCAAAAGGAGTTCATATTTTCTTTTTAATAAATGCAGTGGAGTGTGGGGCAAATCAAGAATCTCAAAGGGGTCATGGTGAGAAGAGGAAGCTTCTGGTCGGGGTTTTATGGAGTGGGAGGAGGTGGAAGGGACTGTCCATTCTTGGGAGACACCCTCAAAAAGGACTCTAGCTCCATCTCTGGATAGGAGCAAGAGAACAGGCCTGACGTCAAATCTCAGGGACCCCAGAACCCAGAGCAGGCTCTCTGGGGGTCTGGCCTGCGCGCTAGCCCTAGGTACCGAGTTGACATTTAATGCCTCTCCTCCGCTGCCACCTCCAGCCCTGGGATCGACTCTCCAGCCCTACCCCAGGCTGCCTAGTTCTAGTTTGTTCAGACTTACTGAGCAGAGTGGGCCCGTATTGCCTTTGACATCATCTTTTTGTCCCCTGCAGGCTGCTGAGCACATCAGAAATCTAATCAGGGCACTGGAAACAAGGGAGCCCCAAAATCCAAGCCTCCATCTTAAAAAAATTCTTGTGGTTAGCAAACTGGTAAGAAGTTGCTATCTTGGTTTCTGCACTAGCTCTGCTTACTGTGTTCTGTACAGGAGAACTATGGTCACCTGGAAACTCCCTGAAGACTTTGCCCCTCTCTCTCTGGTTCAAACTTCACCTTGCAGGCTAAGGGCCAACCCTGTGGCCCCTACCTAGCTCTGGCCAATAACATTTAGCCATTGGTCTAGGGGAAAAGAGGACAATACTATGGCTGTTGTCCAGCTATGCCCAAACTCTGGCCTGCGGTGCTGGGTGCCTGTGCTCCTCCTGCAGAAGTGACCTGGGAAGGCTGGTTTGCCCAGGCCTCTGACATCAGGCCAGGTGCAAACAGAGCAGGCTGCCAAACCATCTGTCTCTGTCAAATCCTTCAGCCCAAAGGGATTAACCCATAGCAGGATTACTAGAAGGACTGGTTATAAGAAGAAGGGCAGCTCTGGGGTCCTAGGGACCAGGTCTGTGAGCTGAATGCCATCGGGATACCATCTTACCCCCATATCTGTGTCTGAGTTCTCTGTCTGGTGCTCCACACATAGCTGGAAACGTGCCTGCTCCAGGCTTTGAGGGCCACTCCTCCCAACACAGAGAGCGCCTGTTACCCAGTGTCAAGTTTCAGAATATCTCTAAGCGACACGTTGGACCAATTACTATGGCCAGACAGGAGATGTGTCCCTCAGAGCAGCCTCCTGGGGCTTGAGTCGGGTTCCACAGGTGTGGCCAGTGGGAGGTTCTACACACTGATCTGTTTAGACGCAGAGCTCAGGAAAGCCCACCCCAAGTCCACCAGAGTGCCCCACATTGCTAACACAGATGGGCAAGACTGACTAGTCCCTGGACCCTCTGTGTCTGTTCCATGCAGTGTGGGAGGCACCAGGCAATTCAACAGCAAGTGTGCAAATTCATCGAGCACACCTTCATGGCCACCTCCTACAGCAGCGTGGCCACAGAGCTGGGCTATCTCTTCATCCTGCAAGACCAGGTGAAGGAGGCATCTATGTGGTACTCGGAGGCCATGAAACTAGATGAGAACAGCCTGGCTGCCTTGACAGGTCTGTGCAGGCTGGGAAGGGTGGGGGGAGGGTGCAGGGAGGGTGCCTCCGTGAGTTCAGGAGAGTGGTGCCGCAAAGCATTCTCCACCAGTGGGGGGGGGGGTGCATGTGAATTTGGGAGACTTTTTGGTGACCACAAGGTCAGATGTCAGAGGCACAAGAATTCTCAGAAGTATAGTCATAACCACTCTGTTCTCCATTAGAAGCTTACGCCCACACTCTAGGCCCTGGGGTGACTGGCAGCCTGTTCCTGTGCCTGGCAGGTCTGGCCTCCTAGGCCGCAGCAGGTCTGTATTGGAGACAGTGCCTCTCCCAGCAACTCTCACTCAGCGTCACCTCTGTTGACCCTTCTTCTGTAGCCTCTGAACTAAAAGTTCACCAGAATGAGTAGCTTTGAATTTCACTTCCCTGTCTGTCCAGATGCTTCCCCAGCCCTTTTATATCAAATGTCAAATGTATTTTCCAGAGCCCAGTTTTTATATGACACATTTTGTCTTAAGCTCTCAAGTCTATGGCCTCTGGAAAATTCTGAACGAGCACTGTTTAGTTTGGGTCAAGGAGGTAGGGTGTTCAAGGCACACTGGCTCCTGGCCCTGGCGCTGAGTCACCTTCAGTGGACCAGAAACTTTGAAGAATGTCACATTTCTAGAAAATACAAAGCAGGTAGCATCACATACATGGAAATGTCACTCAGGTCCGGAAGCCAACAGAGTTGGGGGTGGGTGGGCAGAGACAAGTCAGCAAAATAAAGGGAATGAGTAGGTGTGCTTTCTCTCAGAGTGTTCCAGAAAAAAGAAAGAAAGAGAGAGAGAAAGGCATAAGTTCAAGGTCAACAGAGGCTGGGAGCAAAATATGCCACAGGGCAGTCCCATGACAATGGGAGGATGGATCCCTGAAGGCCAGAGAATGGAACTGAGGAGGGTCTTACTGGCGGTGGGCAGGAGGGAACAGAACAGAGCCCCTGAGCACTTCCCACTACCACCAGCAACATGAAGGACAAAAAGACCACTCAGCATGCAGACAAAAACTCCTGAAATCTTCTTCCACCAGGCTAAGTGGTTCCCTGCTTCCTTAATCAAGGGAGAGCCCCCACCCGGTGAACAAGAAGGGGTTAGAATGGCCCCTGCTCTTCAGCACTGACTGAGTCTATGCCTGGTCTCCCAGAGTCACCACCTTACGTGACCTGTTGGGGAAAATCAGTGACCTTAACAGCTTGAGAATCTGCCCAGGCTGCTAATTCCCATCAGTTTATTTCTTTTATAAATCTGCTAGCAGTTTGAAAGAGGGACCAGGTAGAACATGAAAAGCCACTCTCTGAGGAGCAAAATTAAAGCTGGTTTCAGAAAAGACTTTTCCCCATCTCCAATGTTTGCAGAGGCTGCTGTGCCAATACGTCAAGAACATGCTACTATAAAAAGTTACAAAGAAAAAAAGAGTTACTGAAAATCAAATATATGATTGCAAAAAGTGAAAAAAAAACTCTAAGATGCGCCAAATAGTACTATGGATATAACTGAAAACCAAGCGAATGATCAAGAAGACAGTCCGGAATAAACACACCAATATGGCTGAAAACATGTCTAAGAGTAAATAGCAGGATGAGAAGACAGCTGTCTTCCCAATGTCGAGACACATCACAAGACAACTGCACCTAAGTCATGAGAGCAATGCTGAAATTTAAAAAAAAAAAA